TCACACTTCTCTAGTAAGTTTCGTCTGTGTATGAAGACAGTAGCGCAAATCCGTGAATGAATGTTCCGAAGTGTGAAAAACTTCAACTGAATGGAATTGAATTGAATTAAAGTCGAATAAACTTCAACTTTACTGTTCAGTGCACTGATGTCAGACTCCTTTTGGATAATAAAGTTTATTGTTAAATTGTTAAATGCCCTGCCTCCATTACGTATCTCTGTCACGTCATTATAAGTGTTTGATCACCACATTTGTGTGATCATTGAAAAAAATGTTTGTATGTATATATATATATATATTCTGTTTATGTATATATAGTACCAGTCAAATGTTTGGACACACGAATGGAAAAGTGTCCAAACTTTTGACTGGTACTGTACTATAATATACACAAAGAATATCGGCCGATATATCGTTATCTGCCTTTTTTTACTCCCTAATATCGGTATCGGCCCCAAAAAGCCCATATCGATCGGGCTCTAATATCTACTACCATTATACATTTACTTGCTACAAAGTGCTAAGTGATACAGTCACAAGCTATCATGGTGTATTTAATGTTAAATATACAGCTAAATGCAAGTTGATTTTGCTGTCATAACATTTCGTTATGGAAAAATAGAAACCGACTGACAAAATGTCTTGACGCTTGTCACAGCTGGTTAGGACAAAAACCGATTGTAAGTGATGTTTTTTTTATTACTTCTCGTTTTTATCATATCACACCTGCTTTTGGACACTATCTGTTTAATGATCGCTTTTCCAGTTTGCAGTTTCTCAAAATGAAGTCAGGAAAGAGGTGAAATTTCTATCCTCATATTATTAATCTTAATGCAATCTCTAGGCCACTCAAAATGGTTTCCTATTATGTTGGGATACTAAGTGGGCCGCCACACTTCAGAGTGGACCCATATTTCTTTGATGGCACATTAGTAGTCTCAGCATACACACAAACACACAGCCATTGCATTTTTCACTTGAGAGAACTGTGTAGACCTAGTGTCTCTACAAAGAACAAAAAGAAGGTCACCTTTGTACAAGAAATGCGATTCACGTTACGTCTATATTGTAGTGGGACATTGACTGCCTCCATGGTCAGCTCAAAATGTCATGTTCATTAAACCTCTATCAGTTTACCTGCAGTGCTTCTTAGGAGTTTTGTTCTGAAACCTATGTTTTAAAGCATCATCGACATGCGCCTGGCACAAAGACTGTTCCACAAGCAAAGTGAAAGCTGTGCCTTGGTTTGGCCAAATTTTAAGGTTGTGTCACTAGTGTTCATAGAATTTAAGTATTGTTAAAAAGTTCAATCTGATTAATTAACAAATTGAGCAAAGACTCTTTACCGAATATTTGTGTGTACAGTGTTTTAGGCTTATTAGACTACTGCATTGTTAAATTTTAGAATAGGGTCGTGTTGCAATGAATAGCACAATTTGTAATTAAAGTCAGTTGGTACATAAAGCATTATCCAAGTCATATGCTGCTCTTAATCGTGTAAAAGTTCTTCCGTTCCTGTGCTAGTTTTAGTGTTCAGTTAAAAATGACCAACAAAGGCTATAAGTTTTCAGTTTCATTCTGTTGTACATCCAGTTCTTCTCATGCATCTCTGTCTCAGAGGCGATAGTCAGGCATTTGATTGCACCGGCTGAGTTCTCACAACACACTCTTCCTGTCTGCTTCATTTCAGATATCAAAGGATTCTGGTAATGTGCCATGGGGTACGACGTCACCAGGTTCCAAGGAGAGGTGGACGAGGATCTGTTATGTCCCATCTGCAGCGGGGTGCTGGAAGAGCCAGTGCAGGTCGATATTTATTTTTCATTCAACTGCAACATTCTAGAACACCCTGAGAAAGAGACAGAGGCTCTGCCTGTGTCACGACATTATGAGTTTGTGGTTATTAGATATCATTGCTTCAAGATCATTGTGTGAATGTGTCTCACAAGGGTCCAAAATGTTTTTTTATAAAAAATAAAATTGTTATATTTCTTACAAAAAAAAAGAGTAAACAGACTGTTTATTTAATAAAAAAATAATTAAAAATGATAAAAATACGAATACAATAAAAAATATATTATTATTATCTCTTATAATCAATAATAATAAAATAATATAAGAACAATAATACTTAATTGTTCAGTTAGTTATTTTATTAATAAAATAGTAGAATTATTATTATTATTATTGTTAAATTCGTTTTTTAATTAATTATTAATAAAAACAATTAAAACAATTATTATTGGTAAAGTTATTTAAAAAAAATGTATATATATAAATTACTGTCTTTGCCAGTGGATTTATTTTGCTCTTTTTTTTTTTTTTTTTTAACATCAAAACAAATACAATGTCTGAAAAATGCACTTCCGCAAGAAAATTCAATAGGCATTGAGTTCAGGTTACACCCTGATCAATCTGAATTATTATTGGAAAAGTTAGTTAATTTATTTCTTTTTTTATTATTGGAAAAGTTAGTTAATTTATTTCTTTTTTTATAAATTACTGTCTTTGCCAATCGATTTATTTTGCTCTTTTTTTCTTTTTTAACATCAAAACAAATACAATGTCTGAAAAATGCACTTCAGCAAGAATAGTCAATAGGCATTGAGTTCAGGTTACACCCTGATCAATCTGTCTGTTCTCTCAGGCCCCGCATTGTGAGCATGCATTCTGTAACGCCTGCATCACACAGTGGTTTGCACAGCAGCAGAGCTGCCCTGTGGACCGCACTGTGGTGACTCTTGCCCATCTTCGACCCGTTCCCCGCATCATGCGTAACATGCTTTCCAAGCTGCAGATCTCCTGTGATAACGCCGGCTTCGGATGCACGGCCACCCTTCGGCTCGACCAGCTGCAGTCACACCTCAAGGACTGTGAGCACAACCCCAAACGACCCGTCACGTGTGAAGAAGGCTGCGGGTATCTACCATATTCATATAGTTCTCACTTAGCCCATGTGCTGTATGGATGTGTTTGAGATTAGTACCTTGGTTCACTGCTTTTTCAGCATCTTTTTCAGCTCTGCGTCACGCTGTTTTTTTTTTTATGCAAGAATGCATCCTGTGTGAACAGCCCTTAATTGTCTTCGATGTTTGTTTGACATTTTAATTACATTTGCTTTTTTACTCTGCAGGCTAGAAATGCCCAAAGATGAGATGCCCAATCACAACTGTATTAAGCACCTTCGCAGTGTGGTTCAGCAACAGCAGACCAAGATTGCAGATCTAGAGAAGTCTGCAGCTGAGCACAAGCACCAACTTGCAGAACAGGTCAGACCTGTGTGTTTTATGCTTTATCATGAGGCTACGTGAATATCACTGTCTCTGTGAATTTATTTGAATATAACATCTATGGAATCTCTGCTCTGATCAGCACACAACACCCTGTTTGTTAATATTCTCATGATTTCTTTTATTCAGAAACGTGACATCCAGCTCCTGAAAGCTTACATGCGAGCAATACGCAGCGCTAACCCTAACTTACAGAACCTGGAGGAGAGCATAGAGTACACATCAAGGATGCATTTATTTGACCAGAAATACAGTAAAAACTGTAATATTGGGAAAAATTATTACATGTATTATTACAATTATAATGTTGAAAACTGTTGTGCTGCTTAATATTTTTGTGGAAATCTTCAATTTTTTAACAATTAAAGTCTCTTTTTTTTAACTTTTGATTAATTGAATGCATCTTTGCTAAATAAAAGTATTAATTTCTTTCTTTTTTTTTAAATTTACTGTCACCAAACTTTTGAATGTTAAAGTTATATATACATTTGTATATATACTTAAATATATACACACAATATATTTGTCAAAAGAATAAGGCTAAGGCCATAGCTGTAGTTATTTGTATTGTGCAGTGGATAAAATATAAGTATACGATGTAAACAATGAGTATGTAAATTGCTCTTGAATACTGATAAATTACTGTTGATTAAATAATAATGCTAATCCCATAATTGATAATCAGATGACTTTCTAACTAACTACTCTTGTTTGGCCACAGGTGGGTGAACTCTCTCCAGCCCGCTCGCGTGACCCGCTGGGGAGGAATGATCTCCACACCTGACGCTGTCCTCCAGGCCGTCATCAAACGATCGCTCATAGACAGTGGATGCCCATTGTCAATCGTTAATGACCTCATCGAGAACGCCCACGAGCGTAACTGGCCCCAAGGCTTGGCTACGCTGGAGACGCGGCAGATGAACCGCCGATATTATGAAAACTATGTGGCTAAGCGCATTCCGGGTAAGCAGGCCGTGGTGGTGATGGCCTGTGAGAACCAGCACATGGGTGAAGATATGATTCTGGAGCCGGGTTTGGTTATGATCTTCGCTCATGGTGTTGAGGAGATCTTATAGTCTGTACATAGGTGGGTGCCAATTATGAAAAGCAGAAAGGGGTTTACAGAGACTGAATTGATTCCCCCCCTCTAAAAAATTCATCCCACAAAAAATATCAAAACCTCTTCAGCAGTCGTTACCTCAAATTTGAAGGAAGGACACCGGCAAAGAAAGTTCTCCGCTTCGTGGACCTCCAGCATTCCCTGTTCTCTTTGCCTTAAATGGACATTTTTCAAAAAGTGGACCCTAATGACAAAAACCAACTTGAAACATTATCAGGGATGATGGTATACGTATGTTTTAACATTAGATGAAAAGCAGAAAGGGGTTTACAGAGACTGAATTGATTCCCCCCCTCTAAAAAATTAATCCCACAAAAAATATCAAAACCTCTTCAGCAGTCGTTACCTCAAATTTGAAGGAAGGACACCGGCAAAGAAAGTTCTCCGCTTCGTGGACCTCCAGCATTCCCTGTTCTCTTTGCCTTAAATGGACATTTTTCAAAAAGTGGACCCTAATGACAAAAACCAACTTGAAACATTATCAGGGATGATGGTACACGTATGTTTTAACATTAACATTGAAATCAGAAGGATTTGAAGTGATGTCTAATTTCCCCTTTAACATTTATTTCCCTCTTGAGAGCAAGTATATGTCACTCACAGCTTAAGACAAGTTAAGATTCTTGTAAATACAGATGATAAAGAAAAATATACAAATATGCTATCTGTTCTTGTTCTACTAGAGTAGTGGACATTTTTGCTGTCTTCATCACAGTTTGCTATTTAGAGTAGAGTGTTTTAACTACCATGGATCTCAGTGATTTTTTTTTTCTTCAATAGAGCTATGATGAAAGTTTGGTAGAAAAATTTGAAAGAACTCCGCTCTGTGTTTGCACTGTGTGGTGATTGGAAAAACAAGATGTCCTGAATCTCGTTTTGTGAAGATGTTTGTGGAAAGAGTGATGGAGAGGATATATATGATGGAAATCAATGGCTGATTTGATACCTTTTATTCAACTCTTCAATATTCAATTAAATTTCCCCCAGAAATTTTTTTTATTTTTATTTTCTACTGGCATCACTGGCTATCACACAACTATTAATCAGAACCAGATTTTTCTTCTTTAAGACGGTCTTAGTGACCTCAAAGTTTTTTTTTTCTTGTAGATTCACCATATGCGAAACCAGAAATGATGGATGAAAAGTTTATGAATCGAATATGAAGTATAAAAACGACCAAAAATGACCAAACTACAGCTGATGTAAAACATGTTTGTGTGATCTCCTGCAGATGCTCAACCATATCTGGACCTGTTTACTGTGGTTTACATCAGAACCGTTTTTTATCCATCATTTGCCACAGCACCTCTTGATGAATTTCAAAGAATAAAGAGAGATGGAACAGTTGATTGTTTGTGTATATTGTGCACAGTTGACTCCTGGATAAGTGGTTTAAGAATTTATTTTGCATAATTTACGTACCTTATTTGTACATAGTTGATTTAAAAATCAGTTTAATTTTTGTTGTGCGATTAGTTGTCTCTGCAACCAAAGTTTTATTGTGTTGTATGCACATCGTGCTTGCTTTTTTGTTGTTGTCGTTGCACGGATGCCGAAAATGTAAGTGCAGCGATTCTCAAATGTATCTTCAGAGCTATTGTGTGTCATCTGCTTCAGTGTTACATAGACCTGAATGCTCCTTGCGTTGTTTACAGTAGCTTATTTGAAAATGTTGTTTAATAAGAGCTGAAAACTAAGGACCCAGAATGTTTTACTCGGCAATATTCATCCAGGTCTATGTGGTTTAGGGAGAAATGTCTGTGAACTTTGCCTTATCACACTTCATTCGATACTTCACTGCATGATCGCTGTGTAATGTGTCACATGGCTTCTCTGCACATCGTCCCGCAATGACACCCTGAAGCTGGAGAGATCAAACATGACCCAGTGTGTTTCACTTCTTGGTTCTGATGGATCTGATCACCTTCCATATCATTCATGAAATAAAAGTGGACTTTTTTGTGTTCGATTTAATGAGACCGATGCGTTATCTCTTATTGGACACGCAAGACTTTCTTGACTCTCAGGTTTTATCATCTGATGTCAGGGATGAAATGGTCAAAGAGCTCATGTTTCTCACTGCAGCATTGTCCGTGGATGTGGCATTCTTCTGTTTTATTCTTGCTTTTGTGTTGTGGGTTACTGACAGAATATGAATAAATATCATTGATTTTGCAATACGACACCAGTGTCTTTGTCTTTATTATTAACATGGTAGCAGGAACTTCTTGTTGGTTGTGTTGTTTACAAAAGCTGTTTTAAAAATACCCAGAGAAAGATCTTACTTCCTCATGTTTTTGATGTTTTTCCTCTCTTCACCAAAGTGAAATTTAACTGTTAAACTGAGCAGTCCATAGATTATTATTGATTTTTGGTGACTATGTGGTCACTTCTATCTGCTGATCTCTGTTCAGTGTTTTGAGGCCAAACACACATATTCATGTGCATGCAGGAATAATCCTCCTGTTGTTGGTATTTTCTTTGACCAGCCCATAGCCACTAATTCAGCAAGTCATTTTAATCCAGCCCATTATAGTACTAGTGAGGATCGGAATGTCACGTTGTTTTCCCAGCAGCTCTCATTACCAGCTTCTGCTCAACACTAAATACACTGACTGCTCTCTCTTTTGGTAATAATATGGTTTTATGTACTGTATGTATGCAATATCTATCCATCTATTTAATTGTCTGTCTGCATGTTGTTCTACATCTATCTATCTATTGTCGCTCCATCCATCCATCTAGTTAGGATTTCATTTTGATAAACAACAGTTAAACATTTTTGTTTCATGTCTCCCTAATATATGAAATGGTCTGTAATCCCTTTGAACAAAGTAAGGATTTGATTGGAGCTTTTACAATCTGGTACCACAAATTCCTGTATCAGTTAATCAAGCATTTGGCAATCAAATATATTGCAGCTTAATTATGTGATAACTGTTAAAGCAATTGAACAATCTAAAAGTACAGATATAAATACAATCACTCAGATGCCAAACATACTGAAAATGATGCCATTTGATGATGACACTTGTAATAGTTTAAATGTCACACCACCCTGTTGATTGTCAATGTGTAATCAAAAATGTAACAAGTTTCAGTTGATTAATCATCTATCTATCTGTCTGTCTGTCACTAGTGTTAGTGTGCTCGATAAGAAGCAGTCCATACATACAATCACAGCATCTGATCAAAGTGCATCACTCAGCTCAGACACATGAGTGCGGGCGGTGCTGTGACTCTATGGGAGAGTCACTCACAGTTAGGCGTGTTCAGTTGACTGTCAGTTCTCCACCGGACAAACACAGCTAAACGCTTTCTCACAGACGAAGCTGGCTCTGCCTCCGTCGCCACTTCTTTATTATTTGTTCTTTTTTTTCTGTTTTAAAGATAAGACAGAATCACTAACCTGGTGCTGCAGACCTCAAGATATTAAGGTAACGCCAGTGTTTATTTCTTTTTGTGGTAAAACGAGTGAGTTTTAGAGAAGTGACGACCTTTTAAATAGTAACAGTGATTTTGTACTGTGTTGCGTGTAGTTTTTATGTATGATTTCTTTTGGTAGCGACTCAATAAGGTTGTGTATTAAAACCTCTGACTGTCCAAACAGTGTGTTCGAACGTTTGTGTCGATGGCCAGAATGCTGTCTAGTTAACGATGGGAATCGTAAGGAATTTAATGATTCTAAATTCGATTCGACTCGACGAGTTCGGTTCCGTTTAGAATTCCTTTCTTTTAGTACTTTGACGAATAAAGATGCTTGTTAGATTTGCTGCCCTCAACGGTTGTTAGCAAATTATAAGATAATTTCAGGTTTCAAAACATATTTAACAAATATGTTTGCACAAAAATAAATATAAAAAATAAAATGTTCTTGCCAAAGGTATTGTTTACATTGACTTTTTAATGGCTTCTAGAGGCAACACAAGTGCAGTCCGATAACTGGCTTTAAATACAAATACAAAACCAACAAAATGTGATAACTATTTCAATTAGTTGTGCATCTAAAATTTAAGTTGTCAGATGAACGGTCATGATGTTAACATATCATTTTTTAATTGCGGTTCAGTAAAGGAGTAATATATCAATAATTGCTCCTGCTTCGTAAGTGTTTTTGATTTACTAAAGGAATCGGCTTCTTATAATCATTCTTTCGACAGTCGGTCTGAATTGGTCGCGCTGCATGTTTATGATTCATTCAAAAGAACCGGCTCATTTGTTCGGACTACTGCTGTACGTTTTGGACTGTAAATTCAGTAGTAGTATTGCGGTGAATAGTAGTGCAGGAAGCATCGTCATATATATATTTTTTTAGCACGCCGTTCTATATAAATGCATGTTAACTCAACCGCACGTAATGAAAATGATTCTGTTTCGGTATTTTAGTGAGCTAAAGAGACAGCTCACTAGATTTTGAGACACAGCCTAGCTGTGCGTTTCTCAGTCATGTTTTGTAATGCACAGACCAGTCTATTTTTAATTGTACCACTTAACTGCATTTTGGTGGTTTTCCTCTTTGCTTCAAAGTTGTTGGCTTCGTCGGGTTGTTTTGTCAGATGTTTTGTTATTCTCTTTCACTGAACTATTTGCATAGACTGTGGACCCGGAGTCATATGCTACTGTTATGTGAAATGCTTGGAAACTTACAATTCAATTAAAAGAAGTACATTTTCTACATAAGGTGGTTTTTGGACGTTTTTTACTGTTTAAAATGACAAAGATTTGGTTCTCCAATGTACGTCAAAGAATACCATGCTGGAACCCAGCTTAAGGTGTTTTGCTGGTCTTAGGTGGTTTAGGATGGTCTAACTCAGTGGTTCCCAACCCTGGTCCTGGAGGAACCCCAACACTGCACATTTTGCATGTCTCCTTTCTCTGACACACCAATTTCAGGTCTTGGAGCAGGGGTGTCCAAACTCGGTCCTGGAGAGTTTAGCTCCGACTTGCCTCAACACACCTGCCTTTAAGTTTCTAGCATGCCTAGTAAGAGCTTGATTAGCTGGTTCAGGTGTGTTTAATTGGGGTTGGAACTAAACTCTTCAGGACACCGGCCCTCCAGGACCGAGTTTGGACACCCCTGTCTTGGAGTCTCTACTAATGAGCTGATGATCTGAATCAGGTGTGTTTGATTAAGGAGACATGCAAAACGTGCAGTGTTGGGGTGCCTCCAGGACCAGGGTTGGGAACCACTGGTCTAACTGGTCTTCCAGCTTGAGCAGTCTGATCTGGGTTAAGGTGGTCTCCCACTCTGACCAGCCAAAAAAGTTCCCCAAACCCTTTCAAAACCACCAAAGCAGCCTGGTTTATGTTTTATTCAGCAGTGTACCATGACAGTAAATATTACTTTTTGTGCTTCTTATGAATCATTGTGTTATTTGACACGTTTCTCTCACCTGATTAAATGCTTGTTACATTCTCTGGATTTTTTCCCTTGAATTGTTTATTTTACTGTTATCTCTTCACTAGGTTGCTGAATATCTAAATGCCTGCATTAATCTAGACTCTCAGAGTTTATGTAAATATTCTTTTCAACATTCTTCTTTTTAAAGGTTTCCAATAACTGTGAACTGATAATGTAATTTAAGTTCATCCTGTTTCATCACCATAAGAGATTTCAACTCTTCCAGTTAGACAGGCATCATATTTATAACAGACTGGACACTTTTTGTCACATTTCGGGTCAAGACAGTTGAAGCGAAGGGTTTTGAAGTGCTCTTTCCATTCCCCTACAGTTCTAATTTAGTCCCACATTCTCTCCAGAGCTCTTGGCTTAGTTTACCTGATAATGGTAACTCATTCTCTGAGGAATCTCTAGCCTTATGGGCTTGGCTAGAAAATCACAGGGTTGGTTTACTGTTTTCCCAGTAATCTCCTGCTTTTGTAACTCATGAGCCAAGCAGTGAAAAACTAGACTCAGGAATAGCCCGTCTTTCCTAAAGCTCAATCATGATCTAACCACGTTTATGCAACAGAAACAGATGAAGGTCTAGCTTTGAATGTGGGTCAATATTCATTTCACCACAGATTTCCTCGCTTTTAACATGGCAAGTGGTAAGTACTTATTCATCTCTAAAAAGCGATGGAACAAAAACTGGATATTGCTGATCTAAACAGTTTGTCAAGTCAAGTCAAGTCACCTTTATTTATATAGCGCTTTTAACAATACAGATTGTGACAAAGCAACTGAACAGCATTAATTAGGAAATAGTGTCAATAATGCAAAATGACAATAGTAAACACTCATTTTTCAGTTAAAGACAGTTCATCATTGAATTCAGTGATGTCAACATCCAGCTCAGTTTAAATAATATCTTTGCAATTATGTCAACGATAACGCTGGAAATGAAGTGTCCCCAACTAAGCAAGCCAGAGGCGACAGAGTTTGTGTATTCCCATATTTCCATTCAGTGGTCAGTAAAACACCACCATCTTCTTTGGCTTTTATAGAGTAGTTGTAAATCAGGATGGTGCAGATTCATAAGAGTATCAGGGCTGCAGTCAAAAACAAAAAACATGAAACATTTAGCAGCCAAATGAAGTGTCACAAATGTACTAATACAACAAACACATTACAGTAATAGTTCCTAGTTCTGAATAAAGAATCTCTTTTTCTTTTACCACAACAAAAACTAAGTGTTAAGTCAGGGTGTCATTCATGAATTAAAGTGCCCGTATTATGGATTTTTGAAAATCACCTTTCATACAGTGTGTAACGTAGCTGTATACGATTGAATTTGATGTCAGTGCCCAGTTTGTTTGGACCAGCTTGCTCCTCCGAATCACAACCTATAAAAGTATGATTAATAATTGTTGCTGTAAGGTTCTGTCGAGCGTGCAAAATATGTAGTTTTGTGTGTTGTGTTGTGAATACAGTCAGTGCAGCTGTAGGTCTCTCTGGTTAACTCACGTTATAGCTCTGCTAATCAGCTGTGGGCTCGCTATTGTCTAGAAATGTGTCGATTAATATAGAATGTCTGTCGTTTTTATTACTTGGATTCATGAAAAAGGATGGAGCATTACGTTGGTTTACAAACTGCAGTGATTTATCAGAACTCCATGTTTGTTTGGCATATGCCATTATTGTTTGGGTCTTCACTACGTTACGTTTCCGACATGCGCTGTATGCAGTAGACCAATCAAAACAGACTGGGTCATCTGACCAATCAGAGCAGAGTAGCCTCATGCAAAGCAGGGGTTTGGAAAGATGAATCTTTGAATGAATTGTTTGAGAGTCGTTGAGAAATAAGGTAAATTTACATGTATATTATGAGAAAATGACAGTGTTTTTGACCTTGCTTGCATGTAAACTTGTTGGGGACTCCCAAAACCAAATTATGAACCTTTCAAGTAGCATAATAGTGGCACTTTAACAACCCAGAATGATTCACTTAGTGAGTGAGTCTGACTCAGTTGCTCTTTCAAGAATCTTTTGACTGACTCATTAAAAAGAAACATTTGAATTTGACTTAACAACTCATGTTGTCACTGTGTTTGTTGTGTTATGAAACACTGGCACTGGCAAATGAGAACATACACGTATATGATGAAATGTCAAATTTTTGTCTCATTTGTAATGGTTGAATCAAAAAAATGGCCATAAATGTTAGTATTGTAATTTTTCAATTGGACTTTAAAAATTATTATATTATAATTAATCTTATATACACATTTTTTTTTTAATTTTAGGTGTAATATTATAATAGTAATATTATTTGTTGTTTAATATTTCAATATTTTATTTAATAATAATAATTTTAAATCGCAATTGCAATTTTTATCCGAAAAATCTAATCTTTCAGCCCTGTGTATGTTCTTGCACACTGAAACCTTGTGGAGATAATTGTTTTCAATTGGTTGTTTTTATCGTGAAGTGTTTTGGTGTAGTGTAGACTGCATAAATGTAGTAATTATATGCATAAATTATATAATTACATGTCCTCAAATTTTTCAGTTGAGTCCGTTTCAGCTGCAGTATGTCTATGATTTCTCATGCCCTCTCTTGTACACGGTAATGAAATCTAAATGGCTTCGCCCGTGGCTTCGACTCTTGATATTGCTCTGTGTAGGAAGGAGACTAGCGTAACAGTTGCTCCGTGTCTGCTGTCTGTAGTGCTCTCTCCGTGTGGGTGTAAGTACGTTTTTTTAACATGTGTCTCCTCAAGCTTGTGCCTTTGCACAGACCGCGCAGCAGGCTTTTCTGGAGGAGGACGGCGTGCACGGCTGCTGTGCAAGCTCAGGCATGCCTGCGGGTAGTGAGTGACTTTGAAAGGGTTTCCTGCACACCGCTGAGGCCCCTTTGCTTTTACAAAAAACTCGTCCTGCCACAACTTACAGTCAGTAACACTTTTTTCCAATGAAATGCAACTTGTAGAACACAAGAAATGAGCTGCGGGAGGTACACAGGTGAGGTGTGACTTGTGCTTCTACAGTTTGCGGG